AGGTGTCTAGGAGTGGTTTTCTTTACACTTATCTTGCAGAGCATCGTGGGTCTGTAAATCAATGTTTGTCCTAAGAATTTGGAAATTTGGGGCCTTGTTCTTTCTAATGTTTTTTTCTTCTCATGATATCTCTCCTCTCCCTTTGGAATTTCTATTAAATTTATATTAGACTATTATGTGACATTATCCCATGGGCCACTAAGGATCTTTTCAACTTTTTAAAAAAACCTTTTCCCTGTATTCATCAGCTTGGATAAGCTCGACTGAGATTTGTCATCAAGCTATAGTCAAGCTAATTTTTTTTTTTTTTTTTGACAGGCAGAGTGGACAGAGAAAGAGAGAGAGACAGAGAGAAAGGTCTTCCTTTGCCATTGGTTCACCCTCCAATGGCCACGGTGGCCGGCGCGCTGCGGCGGGCGCACTGCGCAGATCCAATGGCAGGAGCCAGGTGCTTTTCCTGGTCTCCCATGGGGTGCAGGGCCCAAGCACTTGGGCCATCCTCCACTGCACTCCCTGGCCACAGCAGAGAGCTGGCCCGTAAGAGGGGCAAGCGGGACAGAATCCGGCGCCCCGACCGAGACTAGAACCCGGTGTGCCGGCGCTGAAAGGCGGAGGATTAAAGCTCATTTTTAAACATTATACATTTTGTTCTAGAATTTTCATTTGGTTATTTTAATAGTCTTCAATTCTCTATGGAGCTTATTGGTTCACTCATTATGACCGTTTTCCCTGTAGATTAGCTGTTAGCCATTTTTTTCTAAAAGGGCCAGAGTAAATATTTTAGATGAGGAAGCTCTGTATTCTCTGTGGCAACTACTCAGCTCTGCCATTATAGCAGAAATGTCTACAAATGGTCATGACTTTGTTTATAAGAATAAATGGCAGGCCGGCACCGCGGCTTACTAGGCTAATCCTCTGCTTTGCGGCGCCAGTACACCGTGTTCTAGTCCCGGTCGGGGCGCCAGGTTCTGTCCCGGTTGCCCCTCTTCCAGGCCAGCTCTCTGCTGTGGCCCGGGAGGGCAGTGGAGGATGGCCCAAGTGCTTGGGCCCTGCACCCCACGGGAGACCAGGAGAAGCACCTGGCTCCTGCCATCGGATCAGCATGGTGCGCCGGCCGCAGCGCGCCGGCCGCGGCGGCCATTGGAGGGTGAACCAACAGCAAAGGAAGACCTTTCTCTCTCTGTCTCTCTCTCACTGTCCACTCTGCCTGTCAAAATATATATATATATATTTAAAAAAAAAAAAAGAATAAATGGCGGCCGGTGCCGTGGCTCAATAGCCTAATCCTCCACCTTGCGGTGCCGGCACACCGGGTTCTAGTCCTGGTCGGGGCACTGGATTCTGTCCCGGTTGCCCCTCTTCCAGTCCAGCTCTCTGCTATGGCCCAGGAGTGCAGTGGAGGATGGCCCAAGTCCTTGGGCCCTGTACCGCATGGGAAACCAGGAGAAGCACCTGGCTCCTGGCTTCAGATCAGCGCGATGCGCCGGCCGCAGTGCGCCGGCTGCGGTGGCCATTGGAGGGTGAACCAATGGCAAAGGAAGACCTTTCTCTCTGTCTCTCTCTCACTGTCACTCTGCCTATCCAAAAAAATAAAAATAAAAATAAATAAATGGCAGCTTGGGGCTGGAGTCGTGGTGCAGTGGATTAAGCTACCGCCTGTGAAGCCAACATCCTATATATGAGCGTCAGTTCAAGTTCTGGCTGCTCCACTTCCAATCCATCTCCCTGCTAATGTGTCTGGGAAAGCAGTGGAAGGTGGACCCAGTGCATTAGTCCCTGCCACCCAAGTGCGAGAAGAGACCCAGCTGGAGCTCCAGGCTCCTGGCTTTGGCCTGGCCCAACCCTCACCCTTGCGGCCATTTGGGGAGTGCAACAGTGGATGGAAGTCCTTTCTCTTCCTCAGTCTTTAATTCTGCTTTTCAAACAAATGAAAAATCTTTAAAAAACATATAAATAAATGTCAGCCTCTCTGCAGGCTCTGGTTTGCTGCCCCTTGTTTTAAATCATTGAGCACAACAGCTTTAAACTCCTTTCTTGGTAATTCTGAATCCTGGAGGATTTTTGGGTCTATTAATATTGACTGTGTTTTTAGGTAGGAAGTATTTTTCTGTTTCTTCATGTGCCTAGAAATTTTTTATAACGTGCTCAGTATTATGAATTATACATTAGAGAGTGTCACAGAGAATCTGGATTGTGGTGTCCTTTGAGAGTCAAGGGTTTTGTTTTTGTTTTTAAAAGATTTCTTTATTTATTTGAAAGTCAGACTTACACAGAGAGAGGCAGACAGAGAGAGAGAGAGAGAGAGGAAGAGAGAGAGAGAGGTCTTAAATCTGCTGGTTCACTTCCCAGTTGGCAGCAATGGCCGGAGTGGTGCCAATCTAAAGTCAGGAGCCAGGAGCTTCTTCTGGGTCTTCCCACATGGGTGCAGGGGCCCAAGCACTTGGGCTGTCTTTACTGCTTTCCCAGGCCACAGCAGAGGGCTAGATCAGAAGTGGAGCAGCCGGGACTCAAAATGGTGCCCACATGGGATGCCCGCACTGCAGGTGAGGGCTTTACCCGCTACGCCACAGCACTGGCCCCCAAGCTCTTAATGTAGTCACTTCTTTTTCTTCTAGTAAAGGTTGGTAAATCCCTCATCTAAAAATTTCCACACTTCGTCAGTTATTCTAGTTTTCATTCCTGGTGTCTAGCAGAGAGCTGGATCCAAAGAGGAGTAGCCAGGACTTGAACCGGCGCCTGTATGGGATGCCGGCACTGCAGGCGGAAGCTTTAGCCTCTATGCCACAGCACCGGCCCTCGAGGGGCTTAATTTTGTTTTAGGAGGCACTTAAATGCCTGGTGCATCATTTTGCCTGTCTGGCTTGGTTTTGTTTTTCTACAGGCAGATCTGCTCTGAATCCGAAATTCATCTTAAGAATGTCTCTCCCACTGGAGCGGGATGAGAAAATCTGTAGTGCCCCAGGTCATGTGCGCATTCTGTAAATGAAATTTGGTGTGACTATTTTTCTGTCAACCCCTACCATGGGCCATCCGTGCTCAGTCTCACTGAGTCCTGCCCTGTTTGTGTTCAGCCCCGCTCTTGCCACAGAACCTGAGTTGGTCTTCCATGCTCTCTATGGGGCCTGCTTCGTGCTATGTTCCCCTTTCCAGAGCTCCTCGCTGCAAATGTCAGTCCTTGCCGGTCAGTAGACCACCAGTTTGCTTGGGATTTACTTCAGTGCTGCACGGGAGGGAAATTCCCTAGGAAGAAAGCCGTGACCACTGTGAGCTCATGTCATGCTTTCTCTCCTCCCAGACGTAGCTCTTGTTGACCTGTTGTTCCATAGCTGCACACATTTGTCTGGTAGAGGTGTTTCCAGCAGACAGACAAGTTTGTGCCCAGTTACTCTGTCATGGCTAGAAGCAAAAGTCCTCATTGGTTTTTCTCATTATTATTATTATCCAAATCTTGGTTTAGCAACAGATTAACCTTCTGGCACTTAAAACATTTGTTGGTGTTAACATAAGTAGCAGCAAATTGTACTGATAATGCAGGCAGCGGGCAGAGAGAGAGAATGATGACCTTTTCCAAGAGCTAAATGTTAAGGTAAACTTGAGCCTAGTCTCTCTCTGAATTTTCCATTTTCTTTTTCCGGCAATGAAAAATAATGAAGGCAGAAAAACCAGCAGTTACTATATACCTATATTTGCCAGGCACTCTGCAACTTACCCTAGTATGCTATCTCACCATCAAATCTGTAAAATTATGATAATTACACCCATTTTACAGAAAAGGAAACTGCCCCCAGGAGGAGTGAAAACAATAAGGCTACGTAGCTAGTAAGCTGATAAAGCAAGAATCTAGAAACCCATCTTTCCTCCCCTCATCACCATTCTGCCTTTCCTGCCTTATAATGATTATCAGAATTTACTGAATCTTCCTGTTACCTGTTCTACTGTAATTGCTGGCCCCTGGACTCATTCAAATTGCTTTTGTTCGGCCCCTTCTTGGTTAGAGCGGGGCAAGCTGTCCAAGTCCTACCCACCTTCGGTTCTTGGGGGGAATCAGGAGAGTGCTGAGCTGCTCGATATGGGTTGTCTCCATGGCTGAGAAGCTGCTGGGCGGGTCAAAGGCCACAGAGAAGCTTCCCTCCGACAAAAAGATGTTCCATGGATGGCATGCTCACTGATGGAGGCTTGTGTTTTCCCAGCTTTTCCTGCCCTGCCTCCCCCATCCACGTGATTAGGAGGGAGAGACATTTATAGACAGACATGCATGTGCTCAGCCCCTTGCTGGGTAAGGTACTGCCCCCCCCCCCAGGACTCTGCCAGCTAGAAGACCACCACCAGATGAGGTGCCAGATTTTATACCCTTAGAATAATGTGCCTAAATAAATGTTTTCCTTTGTCAAGTTAGCCTGCCCCGAGTATTTCACTGGAGTAGGGAAAAGCTGACGTCTGTGGTCATCCTGGTATGACAAGGCAGCTGGTGGACTCAGAGGCCAGCAGGTGGGTGGGAAACACACATTTGCTACTTTCAGCTACTTTCAGATATTGAGCAAAAGCACTTTATGTACATTTCTCAAATGTGGTGCAGAATCATTCATTAGCGAATGCCTGGCAATCCTTATTTCTGAAAAGCATTTTACACACACACTTTTCTTCCCTCACATGAATTTCCACAGCGTTCCTCAGATTCCTGGTGCTCATCTCTCCCTATGCTTGTGCGACAGGAAGCACACGCAGAAGAAAAGCTCACTGCTTTGTGCACACATTTGATTTGAGCTGTTCTGTACGTGGTAGAGGAACTTGGTTTGAACTAAACTTTTGAGCCACCTCTGACACAAAGGTTTCCAAAGAAAGACCATTAGCAGACTCAGTTCTTTTCTAGGAAAATGTAGCGTGTATACAAATTCACTTTAGAAATGAAGACATATGCCATTATGTTGCTCCGCGACGAGACCCGTACCTGTGTGACTGGGACTTCCCAAACTCCCAACATGCCTCTCTTTCCTTCGCAGACTTCTGTGACGATCCACCACAGCTCAGCAAAGCCACCTTCAGGGCCCTCGCCTACAAGATCGGCACCATGCTAACCTGTGACTGCGAGGCTGGCTTCCGCCGAGTTAAATACGGGTCATCCTACATGCTTTGTACAGGAAACTCCAGCCACTCTTTCTGGGACAACAGATGTCAATGCACAAGCAATTGTAAGTCGTTCCTTTTGTCACGACCTGAGGAAAGGGAACCTGCTGTGAAGACGGAGGCAGAGTCCACCTTTCATTCACTCCGTCCTATAGGCAAATACTAGCCTGTTCAGTCTACAGAGTACGTGGTTTCAAGAATATTCACCCATCAAACAAATATTTAATGAGTGTCTACCAGTTCTAACAATGGTTCTGGGCACTGGGGATATAATCAGTCACGCCCTCAGTGAATTTAAATTTCCTTTGGGGTGTAGTTGGGGGTGGGGGTGATGGACATTGCACTAAACAATTAAAAACAACTCTAGCTCACAATATTATGAATGTATTTAATGTCATGGAGTTGTACACTTAATATGGCTAATATGGTAAATTTTTTGTTATACATATTATATAAAATATTTCATGAGAAATACTCTTCATGGAAGAATCTTCACTTCCCATAAAGCTGAACATACTCTCTTGTAGGCTTATTTGTTTCCTGATTCCTAAAGCTCACACATCATTTTGGGTTGAGGGAAGGCAACATTGTCAAGGAAAGTATTGCCAGTCCAGTGTCAGGAACCAGCGTCCAGAGCACCAGGAATGTCCCCCAAGAGACTGGGATACTGGGTGTGGAGGGATGAGGAGAATGAGGAGCCCACAGGTAGATCAGACTGTTATTGGGTAATACTACAAATCAGCCTCAGGGAGAAAGAGAAGGTTATTCTCATTGAATCTTTTCATTTCTGGACATCAAAACATAGCTTGAGAGTCTGGTGGTTGGCCGGCGCTGTGGCTCAGTAGGCTAATCCTCCGCCTTGCGGCTCCGGCACACCAGGTTCTAGTCCCGGTCGGGGTGCGAGATTCTGTCCCCGTTGCCCCTCTTCCAGGCCAGCTCTCTGCTGTGGCCAGGGAGTGCAGTGGAGGATGGCCCAAGTGCTTGGGCCCTGCACCCCATGGGAGACCAGGAGAAGCACCTGGCTCCTGGCTTCAGATCAGCGCGGTGTGCTGAGGGTGAACCAATGGCAAAAGGAAGACCTTTCTCTCTGTCTCTCTCTCTCTGACTGTCCACTCTGCCTGTCATATAATAAAAAAAAAAAATAAAAAGAGAGAGAGAGAGTCTGGTGGCTCCCCAAATCACATATGGACTAAGTCCCCCGAACTGCATCGGTACTGGTGAAGAAAGCTGAGATGGGAGAGCCATTGCTGGAGCGTTTGCTGGAGCCTGGCCTCCCTGAAGTGCAAGTTGAAGTCAAAGTCCCGCAGAATGCTCCCTAAGCCTAAGTTGATCTGGTCACGTGACTTCTGCTGTTGAACATGGTTCCTCTAGCTCCAAAGCCTGCCTTACACAGCTCTTTTCCCATCCACTCTGTGATTTTAGAATGCAAACAGTGGTGGGCTCATTCATCTTTTTTTTTTTTTTTCAATTTGACAGAATTATAGACAGTGAGAGAGAGACAAAGAGAAAGCTCCTCCCTCTGTCAGTTCATTCCGGAAATGGATGCTATGGCCGGCACTGCGCCGATCCAAAGCCAGGAGCCAGGTGCTTCCTCCTGGTCTCCCACGCAGGTGCAGGGGCCCAAGCACTTGGGCCATCCTCCACTGCCTTCCCGGGCCACAGCAGAGAGCTGGACTGGAAGAGGAGCAGCCGGGACTAGAACCCGGCGCCCATATGGAATGCCGGTGCTGCAGGCGGAGGATTAACCAAGTGAGTCACAGGGCCGGCCCCCTCATTCATCTTCTTATCCCTTAACTCTACGGATGGTGTCAGCTGGCATGTCTCAGTGTCATGTGTTCCCCCAATCTATGTCTGGAGACTGAAGTTTGAACCCCACAGCTCTGTTAAAGCACCTCACTGTTGTTCCCCACCCCCAGAGAGCCCTTCCTTTATTCTAAGCTGGGATTCTGAGCCCACCCCCCAGGGGTGCTCACATGCAGGCCATCCATGTACTCCACCATAGAGGCAGGTGTTACAGAAGTTCTCTTTAAGATTGCTTCTTTCTATCTTCGAGAGTTCTGAACTGCTTTAGGAGAGCACAGGATTCAGAACTCCTAACTACCATCACACATGCACACACAACATTGACAGAATTGAGGGCAAGAAAGAAGTCCCTTTAGATGAGACACACATTGAAAAGATCTCCCACCAGAAAATGGGTTCGTTTCTTTCAGAAATGTGTAGTAGACCATGTCATTGAGCACATGAAAGCAGAGAGGCCAGGGCTGCCCGGCCAGGTGTGGTAGGCATCACCCAAGGGGAGGGCTCACCCACAGTTTACCTTTGTACCCTAACACCCGGGCAATGCCGGGCACATGGCAGGCACTAGAAGGGTTTTCTTGCTGAGTAAATGAATGGTGTCTTCTATTTGAAGCGTTTGTGAAGCTATTTCATCCCACACAGCTCTTAGGAACCCAGAAAACGTTACAACTCAACCTGAAGAACAGACAGAAGGAAAACCCACAGAAATGCAAAGTCAAATGGAGCCTGAGGACCACGTGGACCTTCCAGGTAAGAGGTGACTTGCAACAACCGTCCTCTGACTGACTCCTGGGAACCAACCCTTCCCTTGCACCTGCGTGATGGTGCTCCCCAAGGAGGAAAGTCTGTGCTCCACATGCACAGCCATGTGCGTTTCCTTCTCTTCTCAGAGATCTTGTGGACAAGAACTACTGCTGTTTGCTCAGAAACTCAAACCACAGTTAGAGCACCCAACCTGGGCTCTGCTTTGGGAACTGTCTAAATAGTACTCAACTATTCAATTTAATTCAAAAGCTTGTGTTGGGATTATGTGCCAGGCACTGCCAACCAAAATGCAAACATGTACAGAACAGCCATCCCCGACCTCAAGGAAATCCATGCTATTTTCATCCTAAGTATGATGACAAGTTGCAAATAAAACAATGTATGACAAAGTATTTTTTTAACAGGATGGGGCTGTAGAGTGGGCTGGTGGTTCTTCAAACTCCAGACAAGCACCTCCTAGTTAACAGAGTGTACATGATTGCCCACAGCTTGTCCAAATGAAAGATGCTACAGTTAAGTCACAGTATTAAGAAGTCTCAGAGCCTACTAGGAAAGCCTGACCTTCTGGGGGAACCCGCTGACCTTAGAAGAACCCCATAGTCCTTGCTAATTTTGGAATCTGATGAGTAGCGTTATCATTTCATATATAATTTCATTTGAACCTCACAACCCAATGAGTCAGGAGAAGGGAGGATTAGTTCAAGTCACTAAAGCAACCAAGACACAGAGAAGTTTAAAGACTCATGTAATAGGGGATGGGTGTTTAGCCTAGCAATTAAGACACCACTTGGGATGCCCATGTCCCATATTTGAGTGCCTAGGTTTCAGTCCTGGCTCAGTCACCACTCCCCAAACCTGGAAATTAAATAAATTAATAAATAAATCTATAAATAAACTAACACATAATAGGACTGGAGTAAGACTTCAGTCCTCCTGAATTAGATGAGGGATATTTCTACTAATTACTTATTTTTATATAGTTTGCGTTCATTTACAATTTCTTTTATTTAAAAAAATTTAGGGGCATTGTTGCATCATCATGTTTTTATCCCTTTCCCCTCCAACGTTGTCCTGGAATGGTGTTTGTGTTGCTGTCTCCTCCAGCTAACCCACCCACAATTACCAAAAGGTTTTTGAAGAGCTCAGCTTGTTGTCCTTACTCAAGAGATCAAAAGCTAGTTCTGGCCGAGGGATATTTCGCCAATTGCCTTAGTTTGGACGCTTTCATGTGAAAGAAGCAAATCCAGTTCAAACACAGTTCAGGCAGTCACGGATGGTGACTATAAAACAACACTTTTTACTGTGAGATGAAAACACAAGAGCACTCATTCTCTCAAGGTGCTGCATGGCAGAAGACAGCTCGGCGTGTGCACTCAAGCTTCCTGCTCGTGCAGGTTACTGGTAGAGATCATGCTGGGTGCCCAGGGCGGCAGAGAGTCTGGAAGCACAATTTCACAGTCAGTTTCACAGCCTGAGCCTGGAGGGTACATGCAGTTCCACAGGTCCAGACAGGGCCAGAGGCTAGAGAATATTGAGAGTAAGTCGGAACAGAACATGATCTCTGAGGTCAAGATCAGTCAGGGCCTGGGTTGTAGTCAGGAGGAGTGGAACATGGGGGATTTTCGGAGGTTTTGACAGGGCTCCTGGGGACCCAGCTTACTCATGGACCATGCACCATTCCTAGCAAGAAGCTGCCTTGGTTCACTCACAAGGCCTTCCGAATTCTCTTCCCGCCTCCCAGGTCACTGCAAGGAGCCTCCACCTTGGGAACATGAAGCTAAGAAGAGAATTTATCATTTTGTCGTGGGGCAGACAGTTCACTACCAGTGCGTCCAAGGATTCAGGGCCCTCCAGAGGCATCCTGCTGTGAGTGTCTGCAAAATGGCCTGTGAAAAAACAAGCTGGACCCTGCCCCTGCTCACCTGTGCAGAGGAAAGCCAGCACCATCAATTTCCAGGTAGGTGGGCTCCTTCTTGGGTCCACTATGTTGTTGTTCTCCATGGAGCTGACCAGGATAGGCTCCCTGACTCTACCTGCTATGTGACCTTGGGCAAGCCACTTGACCTCCTGGACCTCAGTTTTGTTCTTGTTACAAGCAAACAGACAGGGGGACCAGTGTTGTGGCATAGTTGCTTTAAGCCACTTCCTGTGACACCGACCTCCCATATGGAGAACCAGCTGCTCCACTTCTGACCCAAGGCCCTGCTAATGTGCCTGGGAAAGCAGCGGGAGATGGCCTAAGTCCCTGGCTTCAGATTGGTCCAGCTCCGGCCACTGCGACCATGTGGGGAATGAACCAGCAGATGGAAGATTCCTCTCTCTCTCTCTCTCTCTCTCTCTCTCTCTCTCTGTAACTCAACTTTTCAAATAAATTTTTTAAAAAAATCTAAAAACCAAAGCAAGGCAAAAAAAGGTGGATAAACCCTAAGGTCCCTTCACTTAAGGACCCCTGTACCCAAGGGGGACAGTAGGAGACAGAAGAGGAAGAAAGACCTCTTGAGTGCTCCAGAGCACCCTGGATGCTGCCTCAAAGCATCAGTGTGCTACCCCTTTCCTTGCTGATCCTGAAATTTCACTACTTCCTTAAGCTACCAAAAGAGGAAGTCTAGCCACCCACCCACTTGTGTCTTCCGTCTACCGGTGTGTGTTGTAAATCTATCATTTTCGTGGTGCTCTGTGGCTATCATGCTCCTTCCCCTTGTATAATTCCCTACCTGTGCACTCATAAAAATGTGCAGGGAAGGAGCCTACTCAAGTATGTGTACACACTCACACTCTTGCACACATGCAACCCACCCAGGCTATCTTCTGCTATCAGCATTCTGAAATCTTATTTCTACAGTCAGAGTTGCTCACCCTGAGCCCTAAGTCCCTTTTTCCTTGCCCTCCCCTCCATTTCCCATGCCCTGTGAGTTCCTCTTGGGTTCTCTGGGCTGTAGTTCCTTCCCCAGAGCTGGCCCACCATGAGCCACATGGATTGTCCAGGTGTTCCAATCCCTTCGTTTGTAAGAGGCTGAAAAGGCAGGGCCCTGAGGTCACTAACCACAGCCAGGAGGCCTGGAGAACCGCACAGACAGAAAAGGCTATCCCTCTGTGTGTTTCTACTTCATTTGGTGGTTCAATGCTATCGTTTGCTTTATTTTCATCTACTCAAGAGGCAGCATGAGAAAGAGATATCTATTGTCTGCTGGTTCACTCCCCAAATACTTGCAAAAGCCAGGGCTGGGCCAGACTGAAGCCAAGTGCCAGGTATTCCATCCGCATCTCCCCCAGGGGTGGCAGGGACCCATATATTTGAGCCATTATCTGCTGCTTCCCAAGGGCATCCGTAGGAAACTGGATCAGAAGCAGAGGTGCCAGAACTCAATACCCGCACTCTTATGGGATGCAGCTGTCCCAAGCAGCAGCTTACCCTGCTGAGCCACAGTGTTTGCTTTATCATGACCCATTTTCAAGTCGCAGATGGGATCCAGGACTGAGTTCAGGATGCCTAGGGTAAGAAAGAGTTGCTCGGTGTCACGAACAGCCAGGGCCAGGGTTAGAATTCCCTCTCACCTGCTCTGCTGAGGCTACTCAACCACTTCCTACTGGTCCTGAGGTAGAATGTGTGGTGTGGTCTCCCAAAGATATACGCAAACTAGGGTTGATGCTTCAGCAGGTGTACCTGGAGCCGTCTGTGGAGGACAGGCTGGGGAAGAAGGGAGACTCCCATCTCCCCATTTGGCTCCATAAGCATCACTTACTCTCTTGTAGGTGAAGAAGAGCCTCAAGCAAGCATGGATGCCCCTCCTGAGAGCAAGACTTCCTGCCCTGTCACCACCACAGGTGCATGAGAGTTTCCATGGAGACAGACACGCAGCCATTCAAGCCTCCTCGGGAAAGGGCACATGTCTGGCTGCAGGCCTCTGCAGCAGATGGGCGGTACAGGGCGGATGAGCCAACTCCACCAGCATCCCGTCTCCTCCAGAGCAGGGGCTTGGCACTCATCAACCCACATACCCCAAAGCCAGAGTCCGAAGGACAAAACACAGGGCCAAGACCGGCCGCTGCTAACACAGCAATGTAACACTGGCCCTGTTCCCCTCTCCTCTTACATCTCTTCCACCTGTCCCCAAGTTTCCCATCCACCGAGAAGGCATCACTCTCTCCAGCCTCCTCTGGTCCCATATTTGGCATACATTGAGAGTATTTCTCGCCCTTCTCTTTGCCACAGATTTTCAGAAACATACAGAAGTGGCTACCACCATGGAGACGTTCCTATTCACAGAGGAGTATCAGATAGCAGGTGAGTGGGCTCTCTTGCCTTGTGGACAAACTGACAAGTGCCAGGTGGGCTTCAGTGTCTGCCTCCTTAATGCTCATACTATCGAAGGGGCAAAGATGAATCCAGAGAACAACGTTATCAAAATGCCATGAATCACCTCTAGGGTGCTGCGAGCTGAGTCTCAAACCAGCCCCAGCCCATCCTCCATGAGCTGATCTTCAAGGACAGCATTCTACGGCTGAGAGAGGGGAGTGAGGCCGGGCAGGAGGAGGAGCGGAGAGGAGAGGCAGTAGAACCTGCCAGGGGGAAAACATGCTCCACCAGCACTGTGTGTTTCCTTGGGGGGAGGGAGAATCAGGCTTTGAGGCTACATCTGCCTGAATCAATAAGTAAGTGACTCCAGGACCCCAGCAAGGCAGTACTTAGAAACCAAGAATGCATTTAGGGATGTGAATGCGTTTAGTATCGTCTTCACACTTCTACATGTCTTTACCAGACACAGGCCTCCCCAAGGAGAGCCCTAGCTTCTGCACCTTCCTGCATTCCTGGTCTCAGTCTGCTCCCCCAGAAAGAACAGTACCTCTTGAGGAGAGGCACTATCTCTTCTCTCTTTTTTTTAAAAGATTTTTATTTATTTATTTGAGAGAGAGAGTTACAGACAGGGCGAGGGAGAGACAGAGAGAAAGTCTTCCTTCCGTTGGTTCACTCCCCAAATGGCCGCAATGGCTGGAAGTGTGCCGATCCAAAACCAGGAGCCAGGTGCTTCTTCCTGGTCTCCCATGCAGGTGCAGGGGCCCAAGGACTTGGGCCATCTTCTACTGATTTCCCAGGCCATAGCAGAGAACTAGACAGGAAGAGGAGCAGCCGGGACTAGAACCAGCGCCCATATAGGATGCCAGCACCGCAGGCGGAGGATTAACCTACTGTGCCATGGCACCGGCCCCATATCTCTTCTCTTTAGTCAAAGGCCAGCCTTGCACACATCCCTCAGCCCTGTCCTGCTTCGTTGAGACTCCCAAATAGCTCCTCTGCAGAGCCTGCAGTGTCTCCCTCGGCAGGAAGCCCTCGCTCACCTAGGGGACTTGCCCCGCCTGCTCTGTGGACCAGCGCCAGGTGGCCGCCATGCCCAGGCACCCCTTTGCTGAACTCCCTCTCTGTCGACAGTGGCCGGCTGTGTATTCCTGCTCATCAGTGTCCTCCTTCTGAGCGCACTCAGCTGGCGGCGGAAATGGTGAGTCCGATGTGATCAGGGAAGCCCTTCCTCAAGGACAGAGCGGGAAAGCACCTCCAGGCTGGGTCCCCAGCATAGCAGCATCAGTTACCAGCGGGGACCTTGTACTAGGCCAGCCAGGGAGGAAGAGAGTAGAACCATTTCATAGCAGAGGCAGGTTCTTGTTGAGAAAGGCCAGTTCCTGCCTCCCTTTAAGAGTAGATTGTGAAACTCACTACATCACTCTCTTAACTCCAGGGAATCTCCTATCCCTGCCAGGTTGGATTAACCTCCACAGTCAGATGCTGAGAAGACAGGGATCCAGCCCCATAAAACCGAAGCCCTTCTCCTTTAGTTTACCTAGCCAAAGAGGAAAAAAATGAGATGTCTTCCAACTTGACTCTGGTCATCAGGCCACAATGTACTCCTGATTTTCCTTTTGTGAATGGAAAAGTACAAATTCTTGCAATGCAAATCCTGAGCCCCCCAGGGATTTCGTGTTAGGGATTACCCCTAACCCTGGCAGTTCAGCCACTTATGTAAAGTGTGGTTTCAGGATTACCTGCGATGAAGTCTGTGAGTGCCCAACATACTATCACAGGCACACAAAAGTTCTTAGAGCTTCTCTTTTGTTCAAGTTGAACAGCTGACGGGCCTTAATTTGGTAGCTCAAAGACCAGTTGTCGTGAGACACAGAGAGCAAGGCTTTCTGGAGGGGTGATGGCTCAGGATCTATGTTGGAAATAAAGACCTCTCCGAAGGTATAGGAGCTCCACAAGGTCTTCCAGAATTCCGGTCTTCAAGAACACTCAAACTTAAGTCTCAAAATGGCAAGGAGCTTGTCTAGAATCTTGTCTCTTTGAATCATCTGATTGCGCCCTCTTTTGGCCAAACAGAAATCCTGCATTTGAATCACTGAAAGTTCATTTCTTAGTCAGAGATTTGGGGTTTTTTAAAATTTGTTTTTGTTTGTTTGTTATTTTGAGCAGTTACTGGGATCCAGGGATGTGCTATAGCAGCTAAATTTTCAAGAACATTATTAACTGGTTTTAAGCACGGTTATCAATAAAAGTATGTGAACTTACAATTAAATAAATTATATTAAAACACAGGCAAAGACACACAATACTAATCACTTCCTAATTATTTCACCACATTGTACTATAACCTTTGTTCTCAGGATTATGTACATCTGTGATATGTGTTCACATATTATGGAAATAGTCTGTGCTGGTCCAGCTACAAATTGGTAGCTGGAATCTGGGAATGGGTAGAGAATTTATAAATCTATAAAGTGAAATTGTTATAAATTTATAAAGTGAAAATAGGCAGCTGATCGCAGAGAGCTGGCTGCTAAACATTACCAGCACGCCTCTGCTTGGAGCCTGGCTCTACAGGAGCTCTGAGCAAGGTAGGAAGTAGCCAGATGTTTCTGTGAGCTAAGAAAGGATTGGGAAGACTCTAAGGCCACACTGGCCAACACAGCAACACTAGCCACAGATAACACTTAAGCTTAAACTTAAATAAATTAAATGCCATTAGAAATTTAGTTCCATGGGTGCACTAATCAGATTTCAAATGTTCACAAGCTACCCGTGGCTGCCTTAGCAGACAACACAAATTTCCACGATCCCACAAAGTTCTACAGGACAGTAGGAGTCTTCAGCTCAGGCAAATCACTCAACACCATCCATTGCCGTTACTATTCCCATTCGGCAGCTCTAGTCCTTCGTAGAGTTAGAAGAAGCTTACAGAACACCTGCTAAGTGCCAAGCATTGCAACTGGGCCCAAAGATGAACGCAACATGCTCTTAGGAGCTTACAGATTAGTGGAAATGGGGAAAGAAAAAGAACAACTGACTTGAAATAGAAATTGTGGAAGCTCAAGGTTGAGGGCTTCCCTTAGGGGCAAAGAGAACAGACACTTAGCCCCCACGTGGGAGTTCAAACAGGCTTTCAGGGTTGATGGTGCCTGAATTGCCCAAGGCTGAGCAAACGCTGGCAGGAAAGAGCTTCGCAGCAGAGGCAGAAGGAGGAGAAGTAAAGAAGTGTGAAATCGCGTGATAATATGTTTGGGAGAAGCCAGCAGTTCAGAACAGCACAGGTAGGGATGGACAGAGACCAGCTTATGGAGGATATGGCTAGATGAGGGAGCTTGGCCTGTATCCTGAAGGCGACAGAGGACCACAGAATGCCTTGCTTGAGACCAGTGGTCTGACTACAGTGGATTTTTGGTGGGCAGTCCAGGTGGCAATCTGATCACATTACCATGGGATGGATTCTCACAGGAGATGATGACAGCTTGAACTAGGTCAGTGGACAGAAGTTTAAAAAGGAGGAAAAGGATCAAAATATAACACAAAAGAGGGCAGATTATCAGGACGTGTTGTTGAGTGAAAGGGAGGGTGAAGGAAGAGGGATGAGTTAGAGGTGCCCCCCTCCCCCGCCCAGGTTTAATGTGTGTTATTGTGAGACTCTGTGCAATGGAATTTCAAGTGAGGCTCCCAAGTAATATATTTCTTGGACATTAGCCACAAAGCTGAGCCCATCCTGTAGTTTGTTCCCTCAGACCCACTCAGTCTCCACATGCATAACCAGTCAGCCCTGGAGTAGACAGGGAACTGGGAAGCTTTTCTTGGGCTTTTTTTCATACCCACTGACTGAGCAATGAATGAGATCATCATGCTGTAAGACCATAAAGCAGAGGTGAGGAGTGGGCACCAGTCTGGGCCTTCAGAGGGGCAGAGAGGCCTGAGGTCACACTTTATCATGTGGGGTAGAATCTAAAGTTAGCAGGTCAATTGGGACTAATGTTGAATGATCTGAAAACATCAGTTTACGGTGGAGGCCACATTTTTCTTGGTCCAGTATTACACCTATGACTTAATTATATCACTACAGGAAGAAGAGTAGAAGAACAATCTAGAAAAGAGTGGCAAGAAGACAAGAACAGTCAAAGAAGTTATGAAGCACAAGCAAAATCCAAGATGTTAAACACTCACCCAACAGGCATCTCTGTGATTCCTTGAATTTTGGAAAGCTCTGAGGTCATATCATAGGACACAGGGCAACTGCTATCGAAGAGTGAGCTCTGCTACTTCTAAGCAGCAATTCTAAGGTCTTTGAAGGAGAAGGAGGAACAACCAGAATGCTCTGTCTTATTTTCATGAATATGTGTTTATCAGAGCTTGAATGGTATGGAACTCTCCAGGCTACATACAATGTAAAGAAAAGTAGCTTTATGCCAATTTCATCCAACTTCCCAATTTAGAAATCCTAGGTAAAACCTAAGCACTAATGACTAATATAAATAACACGCACACACACACACACACCCTTTACCCTAAGTAATCAGACATCCTCCACGTAGATTCTTTTCCTGCCTCTGGTTGACTAGCCCATTCTCCAGATCACATCTCTTAAGGAACATTTTTAAAGAACTCTGGACTGGTTAGAAGAATCATTTTGTCCTTAGCTCAGTATCCTGAGCTAACACCTTCTATTGAATTTCTGAAAAACAGAAACCATGGCAGAATAATCTTTGGGCAACACCAAATAAGGACAACCAAGCCCTTGGAATTGTAGAGCTTCAATATTTGAAAGAATTTTACTGGAGTTCATGTTGGGAGCAGAAGGATAAGCTAGGTTGCAGGTAACGAATTACACTTAGCAAAATGCTTTACATGTACATTACTAATAGATCCCGTTAAGGGTTAGTTTTTTGGGAATTCTACAAGTGGTACTCTGAATTTTGCCTGCACTAATTTGATGTTTACAGATAGACACGCGATGTGCAGATGTATATGTTTCCCACTAAGTGTCATAAAAACACTGAAGAGAGATCAGTGTATTAAATGTTAATGGGAGGAAGGAAGGAAAGAAGGGAATAGAGAGGGAGGAAAAGGGGGAGTCATCCTGACAGAATTCAGCTCTGGAAAAGGACGCACCAGTGGTCCTCAAAGGTTACCAAACAGTTCAGCAAGTCAGAGTCAACCGAAGGCAATGTTGAAACACAGGTTGCTGGGCCTGCAGGCGGAGCTTCTTAGTCAGTTGGTCTGGGGTGGAGCCAAAGATTTTGCATTTCTTACAAGCCCCCAGGTGATGCTGATGATGCTGGTCCCAGGACCACTGTTTGAGAACCACTAGGTTAGACCTCTGTGCACCACCCACCCTCAACTACTGAAAATTCCAGGTGCGGAGACATCAGTGAAAGCCCTTTTGAGTAAGAGCTCTCCTCTCGTACCACTTGACTTAGATGTCCAACATGCCACGTGATTAAGGAGATTAATGCAACGTTTAAACTATCAACCATTTTCATTTCTGAAAGGGCAGAAGAGTGTTACGATAGGCAGGTTTCAGCAGCTTTAGATACAGATCAGAGGGCCATTTTCTGTCCTGTCTGCAGCCAAGCAAGTACAACCCAGCCTTTCTTGTCCATACTCCACCCTCCCCCAAATATATGCTTTCCTGGGTAAACTTAGGTTGAGAGGAATTTCAGACCAGAAAAAAAGTGTCAAATCTGGCTGGAGCAAAACTGAATTGAATTATTATTCATTTTGTGGGAGGGAGACCCATGACATCAAAAATTGTTTTTGTGATAATACTACGATGCTATTGATTTGTTTTATTCTCCTTCTCCAACAAGTATATGGTGGAATTTTCCAGAAGCTACATGATATGTGATAATGTCACCTTCTGACATTGACATATAATGGGTTTATTACTGTTGTTTATAGAAAATTAATAAATAATATTTCTAAAATTTCTTATTTTGATTTCTCAGTACGTGTATTTCTAGATATAAAATTTCATAAACAAAAGCACTCAGTAGTTTTTATGGTTTTTAATCAGGTACAAAGAGCCTGACAAATCGCCAGCAAGCACATGGACATCCCTGGCTGTTTCAGAGATGCAAATCAAAAGCACAATGAGACGCCATTGGGTATCCACTGAGCTGTCTCTGAGAGAAGGAACCGCATAGTTAATATCCTATTGGTGTAAAACGGTGCAACCACTGTAGAAAACAGGTTGGTGGGCCCTCCAAAAGTTAGACACAGACAAGAGGACCCAGCGATTTCATTCCTAGGCGTGTTTATAATGACATTGAACCCAAATACCCATCAACAAGTGGGTGCACAGCAATGGAATATTATTCAGCCATAGAAAGAACGGGAACTTTGATCTATGCTACAAAATGGATGAGCCCCAAACGCATTATGCTGAGTGAAAGAAGCCATACACACAAGGGTACATATTGTATGATGCTTGTTATGTGAAATATCCAGAACATACAACTTCACAGAGCCAGAAAGCAGATTAGTGGTTGCCAAGGATGGGGAGTGATTACTCAGTGGGGTTTTTCTAGAGTGATTTGTATTTATTATTTTTTACATGATTTGTTTTTACTTGTTTAAAAGTTGGCTGAGGAGGTAGGGAGAGATTTTCTATTTGCTGGTTCATTCCCCAGATGGCTGCAACAGCCGGGGCTAGGTCAGACCCAAGCCAGGAGCCAGGAACCTCAAACCTCATCTGGTCTCAAATGAGCCCAAGGGCTCAGATCATCTTCCACTGCTTTTCCAGGCGCATTAGCAAGGAGCTGGATTGGAAGCAGAGCAGCTGAGGACTCAAACCCATGTGGGATGCCGGCATTGTAGGCAGTGACTTAACCCATTACACTACAATGCCTGAGCTGTAGAGAGTGAATTCTTCCACCCAGTGGGGCATCTAATATTGTGAACAGTTGTATCTATTTAGAGGTAGCCTGTGACCCACCAGCCTGTAGCTTATTTGTCCTGTAATAGGATTGTCTCACAGGATTCCTCTGAGCTGCGGCAAATGGTTTGTTGATTCAAAATGACTAATCCTGGCCTGCGCCGTGGCTCACTTGGTTAATCCTCCACCTACAGCGCTGGTATCCCATATGGGCACTGGGTTCTGGGGCCGGTTGCTCCTCTTCCAGTCTGGCTCTCTGCTGTGGCCCGGGAAGGCCGTGGAGGATGGCCCAGGTGCTTGGGCACCTGAACCTGTGTGGGAGACGGGAGGAAGCACCTGGCTCTGCCTCGGATCAGCGCAGCTCTGGCCATGGTGGCCATTTGGGGAGTGAACCAACAGAGGGAGGACCTTTCTCTCTGTCTCTCTCTCTCTCACTAACTCTAGCTGTCAAAAAAAAAAAAAAAAAAAAGAAAAGAAAAAAAAGACTAACCCTGAGACATCTCAGGGGAAGGTTGTACAGCCCAAAGATGTCATTTGTGGAGCAAAACTGCCATTGGGGTCTTCCAGGGAGCCTGGGCAGACAGTTCAATGAGCAGCATATTTTAGAAGCGTGACAATTAATTTCGGGTTTTAAAGGCTTGGTCTGTCAGGTGCCTTCAATGGAATCTTATTTACTCCCCAACCGCACCAGTTATTAACTTGATTAGAAGTTAGTTTAACATTCTGCCTCAGGGTCCTATTTCCCTTTTATTTGAGCACCTGCTCTTATGGCTGTGGCAGCCAGGGTCTCTAGGGAGAAGGACTCTGGTCGTTCCCATCAGCCACACACTGGCGGTGGGGAGTCTCACTTCTGTTCCCACCCCAGGTGTCTCTAGGTGCTGAAGATCCCCTGGTATGGGTCTGAGTGCACAGCAGCCTGCACATCTGTGGGTGCCCACCCAGTCCCTGGCGTGGATGTCCACCGGAAGTTCTGACCTCAACTTGCTGTGGGTCTGTGGCAGGAAGCCCGGGCTCCTTCCTCAGTAACCCCCCTGGGGAAGTTGCGCCTGCTCCTGCCCTCAGTTAACTGTGCCTCACCAGACAGAGTGGACAGTGAGAGAGAGAGAGAGACAGAGAGAAAGGTCTTCCTTTGCCGTTGGTTCACCCTCCAATGGCCGCTGCAGCAGGCATGCTGCAGCCAGTGCACCACGCTAATCCAAAGCCAGGAGCCAGGTGCTTCTCCTGGTCTCCCATGGGGTGCAGGGCCCAAGCACTTGGGCCATCCTCCACTGCACTCCCGGGCCACAGCAGAGAGCTGGCCTGGAAGAAGGGCAACTGGGACAGAATCTGGCGCCCTGACCGGGACTAGAACCCGGTGTGCCGGCGCCGCTAGGCAGAGGATTAGCCTATTGAGCCGCGGCGCCGGCCGCCTCACCAGTTTTGCACGTGGCATCATTTGGATCCTGTTCAAGCCACATTTACCCAAGGGAAACTCAGAGCTCTGCTGAAGTTCCTTTTTGCTCTTCCTACTTCGAGCAGTTCAGTTCTTGTGTCCTAGCTGCTGCTCTCAAACCAAACTCTGGGATAGAGTTCCTACCTCCTCACTTTGGCCTTGCCCAGTCCTGGCCATTGCAGCCATTCGGGGAGTGAACCAGCAGACAGGAAATCCCTTTCTCTCTCTGTCTCTTCCTTCCTCTCCATCACTCTGTTTTACAAATAAATAATAATAGAATACAAAAAAGTGTAAGCATGAAGCTGACACATTCTGATTTGATTGTATATAGGCCTTGTCTATATTCCTGTGGAACAGCGGTATTTCTAGTTTTACTTATTGAACATTATGGTTAGGGGTGCATTCAGCCTGTGATTATAAGGTAAGTTGAAAGTATTTTATTGCAAAAATTAAAGGAAAAAAGGAAGGAAGGAAAGAGGAGGGGTAATTGAGGGAGAGAGGGAGGGAGAGTATGATTATCTTAGAACTGTATTTATGAAATACTTGAAGTTTATTCTCCTTGTATTAATAAACAAAATACATAAATCTTTTTTTTTTAAAAAAAGACATTGGTTGGGATGCCTGCATTCCATGTCAGAGTGCTTGAGTTTGAGTAGCAGTTCCAGTCTTGATTCTGCTTGCCTGCTAATGTGCACCTTGGTAGGTAGCAGGTGCTGGCTCAAGTGGTTAGGTCCCAACCACCGACGTGGGAGACCTGGATTGAATTCCTGGCTCCTGGCTTTAGCTTGACCCCGCCTCTGACATTGCAGGCATTTGAGGAGTGAGGCAGTGGATGGAAATTCTCTCTCTCTCAATGTCTCTGTCTCTCTGCCTCACAAATAAATTTTTAAAACTTCTTAAATGTTCATGGAAAATGAATGTTATGAAAAAACTATGCATAGATTTCAATTTTTTTCTACCAAAATAAAAAAGCTTATCTTTTAATTTCATTTTCCATGAACCTTTTGAAGAGCTCTCATACAAACCCTCACCCCTCCCAACTTCTGCTTATACAATCAAACGAGCATCAAATCTCTTCAGTGGAAAATGGGACCAAGAGTCAACATTTAAAATTATTGTAAACTTTCAAGTGACTACATGTTTTCTGTTCTAGGAATATTATCTGAAAAGGTTTTTCCAGGTCTGGTGTTGTGGCATAGTTGGTAAAGCCAGTGGCTGCAGTGCCGACATCCCATAGAGGTGCCACTCCCAATCTCGGCTGCTCCACTTCCTGACCATCTCTGTGCTAATGGCCTGGGAAATGCAGCAGAATATGGCCCAGTATTTGGACCCCTTACAAACACATGGGAGGCCCAGATGAAGCTCCTAACTCCTGGCTTCAGCATCACCCAGCGCTGGCCATTGCAGCCATCTAGGGAATGAACCAGCAGATGGAAGGTGTGTCTGTCTGTCTGTTTATCTATCTATCTATCTACATCTATATATCTACATATTGATATATAGATATAAATAGATACAGATAACTCTGACTTTTGAAAAGAAATAAATCTTTTTAAAAAAGTTTTCCTCCAGGAGGTAGTAAGTGTAGGAGAGAAAATGGAATCAGCTCTCTCTGCTAATTTGACTAGTCCCTTACTCACCTTCAGAGAATGACTGTGTAACAACTGTCAATTTATGACACCCTTGAAGGCTTTCCAAAAACATTGGCTCATGTGGAGCTGACCCTATCAGATGTGGTTTTCTGGTTAAGTCAGAAGGAGAAAGCTGCTGACATTTTTTCAAGCCTGTCCCTGCAATTTTCAGTCCTCTTGGTAAAGATCAGGGTGCAAAACACATGTCCTCTTCTACAATATGGAGCAACATCTTTTGGAGGGATCCTACCAATGTGAGAAATAGAATAAGAAAGACAGACTTCTCACTGGAAACAATGTAAGTCAAAACAGTGACTTTATTTTATCTTATTTTTTTGACAGGCATAGTTAGACAGTGAGAGAGAGAGAGAGAGAGAGAGAGAGAGAGAGAGAGAGGTCTTCCTTTTTCCGTTGGTTCACCCCCCAAGATGCCGCTATGGCCAGTGTGTTGCAGCTGGCGCACTGCGCCGATCCAAAGCCAGGAGCCAGGTACTTCTCCTGGTCTCCCATGCGGGTGCAGGGCCCAAGGACCTGGGCCATCCTCCACTGCACTCCCAGGCCACAACAGAGAGCTGGCCTGGAAGAGGAGCAACTGGGAGAGAATCCGGCGCTCTGACTGGGACTAGGATTAGCCTAGTGAGCTGCAGCGCCAGCCTGAAAACAGTAACTTTAAGTTGTTGGTAGAAAAAAAGACACTGTCAACCTAGAATTCTATTCCCAGGGAAAGCAGATCTCAACATGAAGGTGAAGTATTTAAAACATCAAATGTTGAAAGACTTCATAAACATAAAATCCACATTGCAAAGAATCTTAATTTGTACTGGGTTAAATGGTGTCTTCCAAAAATTCCTGTTCACTCAAAATCTGCAAATATGACCTTATTTGGAAATAGGATCTTTGCAGATGTAATCAGGTTAAGGTCATCCTGATTTAATATGGGCCCTAAATTCAAAACCATTGGTGGCCTTATA